TTTTCATGGATCTTGGTGGAAGTTAGATTGAAAACAAAGGCCCTGCTGAGGGCCTTAACTTTTTTCCCCTGATCCACTTTTCTAAAACGACAAGAGTGTAGCTGTTTACTTAAATCCAAATGTTTTGCTAGATTGACTGGCTTATCCTGGTGTATTAAGATTTTCCTGGATTTAACACTTAGAGTTCTGCATTGTGAGAAATCTCTATCTTAGCACAACTGGAATGTTTTTTTTTTTTTTTTTTTTTTTTTTTAAAAAAAAAAAAAAAAAAAAAAAAAAAGAGGACGATTTTTTATTGTACTGGAAAGGGCCAAGACACATTGCTGAGGGAGACAGAGCTTCAGTGAATCCTGGAGTTATAGGATGGATGCAGATCTAAGAAGAGTTAAGATAACAGAGGTGGATCTCTAGAGTTGCAAAGTGCAACTCTTCTATTACTGGGGAGACTCAGAAGGTGAAATAGTCATGTAGAGTCTTATTGGATAACCAGTCAAATATTCAAGAAAAAAGTCATAGAAATACACAAAATTGCCTTCCTATCCTAAATTTAAATGTAGATTAGTCACAGAAAGAGTTCCTTTGGGACAGGTGGTAAAGAAAATTCAGTGCTGTTACATCCAGGTCCCAGCTGTGCTAGGGCAGCAGGGTAGGCTGCTGTGAGACCAAAGGAAATATTGGGATGGTTTTTGAAATTTGCTAGCGGGGGCGACCTGGTCAGTAGCGTTTATCCTCTTCTTAGTGCTCTGTACAGATTATTAAAGAGAAAGGATAGTTATAGTTTAGACTGCAAGCATTGTCCATGGTGCTCTGTACAGGTTACTGCAGAGAAAAGGAAGTTATAGATTAGACCGTTAGCATTGTTCATAGTGCTCTGTACCAGTTATTTCTGGGAAAATGGTTAGACCGTTAGCATTGTCCATAGTGCTCTGTACCAGTAATTACAGGGAGAAGGGTGTTATGGGTTAGACTGTTAGCACTGTCCATAGTGCTCTGTATGGGTTACCACAGAGAAAGGAGTGATATAGGTTATACTGTAAGCATTGGCATCATTAACTTGCTTTTACCCTTGTATGGCCAACAGGCTAATGAACAGCTGACTTGAGAGCAGTTTCTTTTCCAGAGAACACTAGTTTGCCCAGCCCCCAGGGTCCTTCACCTAGCACCTACAAGATATTCTAGTCCTGGCTCACCTGTCCACATTCTTTGTTCCTTTAACTTGGCTGGAGCATTGGGACCTGAAAGGCTCATCTCTGGGACATGGTGTTTGATGTGTTCCTTTTCTTGAGGACCATACAGAGCTCTTGGGCCACAGTGCAGTGCTTGTCAAAATTACCTTTGGTATAGCTAAAATTATGCTTAGTTTATGCCCTTGGTATACCTTGGGTCTTTGTTTTTTAGAATGCTCCTGCAGTCTGTAGTAGGCTGCAGTCTATATTAGGCTGGAGTTTCATAAAGATAAGGATTATGTCTATTCATATTTGTACTTGTAGTGATGTAGTAAGTGCTCAATAAAAAATATTGGTTGGAGTTGAATTTTAGACTCCTCCTTCAAAAGGAGACACAGTTTGTCTTGTGGAACAGTGGTGGTTAATGCGAGCACTGCCTGTCTAAACCACTTCATGTTTCCATGGAAACACAACTAGCAGTTCATGTGGCCACCTCTACCTGTCACTGCCAGGTACCCAAAGAGAGCTAAAATCTCCTTTGCTGGTCTCCAGCTGGTCTTCTCCTGCAGTGGAGGAGCTCCTGCTGCAGGGAAAAGGACCCTCCATCGAAAGAACAGCAGGAGTCATCACTAAGAGGCTTTCTTTCTGGACAAATAAGGCGGAAAGGAATGGAACAGTTCTGTTCATCAAATAATACAACCCCTCAGGTGGCATGATTCAGAGGGAAGCCTCCTTGGACAGGAAGGCAAGAGAACAAATTCACTTTACTCTCCTAGGGGCCTTTTTGTTGAGTTCCATTGGTCGCTAACACCAATTATGCCGTCGCTGCTTAATAACACCTTTGAAAATAGGCATTGTTGACTTCGGAAAAACCCAGTCAGTTTCTTTATCTGCTGTTAATGGAAATGATCAACGCCAAAATGAAGACTGAAAGACAGGGATCTTTCATTATCCTGTGACTGCATCTAGGCTTGGGAGGGACCGCTGTACATATGTTACCTAAATTGTAAAACTGTGGAATGTTGCAGCTTAGGGAGATCTTCAAGATTGTGAAACCTAATTGGAATGATTGGGGAAGCTGTTGTGAAATGATCCAAACTAATTTGCTCAAGCATAGTCATTAGGTTCTTGTGGACAAATGTCACTAGTCCCTCAGGATCAGAGGCTACTGCGCTTTAGTATGCTTCCTGCTCACGTTGCATCATGGTGGAAGTTGAGTTTTAGACCAAATCCTGCCACACATACTGACGGTAGGCGGGGCCCCAAATGGTCAACTCTGCTGTCAGGTACTCTGGTCAAACCATGTAGAAAGTCCATAAAAAAAAAAAAATGTGGCAATATCCCGGAAGCTAGATTCATTAATCATTGTTTCTAAAATATTTATTTTATTTTCTAGTTTGTTATTCTCATAATTTTTATTATTGCTAAAACTGTACACATACTATATAGCGTATTTATTTTTCTCATTAGCAGAGCGTGTGTGTGTATGTGTGTGTGTGTTTGTGTGTGTGTGTGTGTGTGTGTGTGTGTGTGTGTGTCTGCCACGGTACACATATGGAGGTCAGGGGACAATTTCATGGAACTGGTTTTCTCCTTTCACCTTTTCATAGATTCTTGGGATCAAACTCAGGTCATGTGTTAGTCACTTTCCTGTTGCTGTGATAAAACACCATGACCAAAAGCAACTTATGAAAGAAAGGGTTTATTTTGGCTTATAATACCAGGGAGTCCTTATGGTAGGAAATGCATGGCATGGTGTCAGGAGCAGGAAGGAGAAAAAGTGAATAGGAAGGAGAGCAGAATAGAAACCCTCAAAACCCACCCCTAATGACGTACTTCCTCCTGCAAGGCTCCACCACCTACACATTCCATAACCTCCTAAATAGCACCACCAAATGGGGACCATATGTTAAAATACATGGGCCTATGGTGGACATTTCTCATTGAAGGCACAACAGGTCACTAGACTTAAATGGCAAATGCCTTTACTCATTGAGCTGCCTCACCAACTCCATATGGCATACTAAAAAGTATGTATACACTGTGAAATTACAGAATGAATCCAATTAACATATTCATTACCTCTCAGACCGTCAATTTTCAATCACAAGAATGCTTAAATATCAGATACAGCACACTGCTTTTAACTATAGTCACCATGTGGGAACCTGCATATTGAAATGATTCGTTTTCTGTAATAGAAAATTTGCATCCATTGACCAACATCTATCCAGTCAACTCTTTCTACTATAGTTCTTAGTAACTACATTGTACTTTCAAGCATACATATAACCCTCTAGTCTCATCAGCATTGTCACAAATAACAATATCTTTTATGACTGAATAGTTTCCATTATATATGTGTATATATGATGGAATCATATGTATATAGCAAATATATATCTATCACATTTTCTTTGTAGTTTTTTGTCTATTAATAGACCCTCAGGTTGACTCTATATCTTAACTTTTTGACTAACAAGGCAGTGAGTAATGGAGTGCAGGTATTGTTACTGGAGTCCTCGTCTATAGAAGGCCTGACCTCAGGGAATCCCAACAAATTAAGTCCAAACACTTGCCTCAGAAATCAAAGAGAAAAAGTAATGATGAAAGACAGGAAAGGAATTTAATCAATATAGCAGTATTAGAAAGACAACAGGGAGCAAGCACTTCAGCCCTAGCCTCACACTCCAAGATTATGTGTGGGAGGGAGGCAGAGAGCGTGTGTAGTCAAGCCGTTTCAGTCAAATGATGGTCTGGTTGATCATTGTCTCAGTTCTCTTCACATAGAATAATGGTGTCAAGGAAAATGCTGTCACAGTGGCATGGATGGCAATCTCCCTCTGTTTCATATGATGTTTATTTCAAAGGCTTGTGATCCTGGGGGGCAAGGAGCATCTTGTTCCCATGAAATGACTAATTCTGCTTGGAAGGGGCAGTCTCATCATAGGGGAGATCTGCTGGCAAGGCTCTGCTGCTCCTAGAAGGTTTAAGATAATGATGAAATACAGCCAGGGTTAGGAAGGGGAGGTTGTAAGAGCTGAGAGTTAGCAATCTGCTGGAAATATCTTATTCTAGTTTTGATGTCTTCAGTCTTTTTTTTTTAAGTTGCCAGTTATATATTTATAAAAAGATAATCTGTTTTTAAATAGATATGTACATACCTATATGAACAAACTTAAAATAATACAACCCTTGGATCACAAGGGTATCTCTGGGAACCCCCTATCTTTCCCCCTCACCCAAGGTTGGCACAGGGCATAAGTCTGTTGTTTTAAAACCAATTTTGGCCATTCTTGTAACAACCTTCCTGAAGTTAGGTGATTTACCCATAAGTGAAAATCAGAGGAAAAATTCAGTTTCCACTCTGAATTCTGTATCTCCAAAGCTAGGACTGCATGCTTTCTTGTTCTCCTTTAGCTAATATATCAGGATAAAGAGGGGGGACTTCCCTGAAATGGGTAAAGAAATAAGATGCACTAGGTTTAAAAGGGGATGTGTGTCATCTGCTCTGAGAGCAAATAAGATAAAGGCATACAGACCCCAGGGAAATACTCAGTTCCAACACCTCAGGAATAGTTGTCCAGCCTAGGTCCAGGCCCTAGGTTCTTTCCTCTAGCCACCCCCCATCTCTTTGGTATTTTCAGAAGACAAGATTTAGTTCCCGGGTGCTGGGGAGGAGGGAGAGTAGTTCAGGGGCTTCCTATGAGCACTGAGTGAACAATTTGAAATTTTCCCTTTTTAAAATACTTAAAACTAAACAAGTCAAACTCCATCCTGTGCTGTACACAGCCCCTTTGACTCCCTGACATTGATTTGAGGAAGAGCAGGATGTCAACATTGGAAGGGCCTTCTCACTTCTGCCACTTTGGTTTGACTTCTCCCTTGGGTACTGTACTGTTGGGCTTGGAGGTTTCAGTGGCCCCAGGGCCAGGGTGAGGAGCTGCAAAGAAGTTCCCATTGGACATTTGCCCTGGGGGTACTTGAAAGATCCAGCTCAAGAAATCCTGAAGGTAAGAAGGAGGGGTCTCTGGGGTTGGCTCTCTGCCGACCACTGGGGCTGGGTACCCGAGAACCAAAAGAGATGTGATAAGGAACTCTGTGGGTGTCTGGGGAGAGTCCCACACATTGGCATCCAGCCCACTCTGTGATGTCATAGACCTTTCCATCCATCAGAGCAAAGTAGGTGATTCTGAGGCCTAACATGCTTGACTCTGCCCAGAAGTCTCCTTCCTCAGCAGGATGTAGCCTATTACACTCAGCACAGTATCTGGCACTCTTAGGTTCCTGGTCCATTTCAAGTCTCCTATGCTTTCCTTAGCATCGGCCACACATCATAGTATTCATTGCCTCCTTGAGGTCATCTTGTAGCTTGGATGGAAACTCACTCACTGACCGGCTCAGCTCATTCTTTGCCATTCGTTTCATCTCATATTCCTTCCGCCTTTCAGGATTGCTGACAATGTCCCAAGCTGCCCGCAAAACCCTGAAGGCTTCCTCAGCCTGAGGATGATGATTTGTATCTGGATGAACCAGCACAGCTAGCTGCCTATAGGCCTTCTTTAATTCAATGTCTGATGCCGTAGCTTCAACCCCCAGCATATGAAAAGGGTTTAGTTCATCCTTAGGAACCCCAGCCATTGTCAAAAGTCAGACCACTTCCTGTTCTGGCTGGCAGTAGCGCCCACTAGTGACACGTGCATGGCCCTGCCTATTAGTCGTCTGCTTGACCCAAGACAGCTCCAGCCAACCCCGTTGAACTAATCTTACCAGCTGCTGCCACAGCCTGCTCTCTCTCAGCAAAGTCAAGCAATGTTGCAAGGCTGGAGAGTCCAGCCAAGAGAAGAGCCAGGTGGCCTTATCCTTCCAGCCTAACCGATCACCCAATCTTACCAGAAACCATCACCCCCTGCCCCATATAAAAGCCCTGTCTTAGAAATTGGAATATTACCTGGGCCCAGCCCCCCAATATTCCTGCCCAGGTGCCCATCCAAACTCAAAAAAGGTGCAGATCACTGCCTTTCAGCTGCCTACATGCATAAATGAGATGGCCACAAGTTTCTACATACTCTTCCACCAACACCAGCAGGTCGATCAGCCACCAGAAGCTTGCCTGTCCAAGCTCTACTCCCCACAATCCTAAGCCTCTGCATTTATCCACCTGACTTTGTTTTTGGCCCAGCCGATGGCGGCCAGGGAACCTAGGATCTCTGCATCCACTATCCCGAGTATCTTCCTTGGTCAGAAAGTGGTGCCTCTGCCTCTGGGATGGGGGCTTTTCCCCACTGGACACACATGAAAAGTCCTTGGGAAATTTAAGAGGTTCATCATTGTCATATTCCTCTTATAATTCTTCATCTTCCTCCAAGGCTGGAGATTCACAATGGTGGCAAAAGATGTTAGAAGAGCCATCTCCTTTCTCAGAGGAAGGCCCTTCAGGGATTCCAGGGCTTCCCTGGCAGTTACAAGCAGATGGAATGGAAAGAAAAGAAGGGTTCCCATCCTCCTGGTATTCAGTCTCATTCTGTCTTGAGAGCTCTTGGTCCACTCCTGATTCTTCTGAAGATGCCTCACTCTGATCCATGTGATCTCCTTCTCTAGGTGGTCCTGGGCCCCTTGGGGGACCATGGCTTGGATCTGACCAGTGGGCTGGGTTTGGGGGCTGGGTGTACTTAGGACCAGAGTGTTCTGTGAGGCAGCGGGTACCATTAGGTGCAGTCCTTGCAGAGTCCCTGGGTCCTGAGAATGAAAGTATTTCAGGGTTCACAGAGGGTTCTGATGTCCTGAGGGAGGCACCACCGCTATGATGGGCTCCACACAACCCTCTTTCTCCGGGGTGCTTCTGGGCCATGACCCCGGGGCTCCCTGAGGATTTTAGGTCACAGCCATCATGATAAGTTCTATGGCCGAACAGCGACAGCAACTCCTCCCCCTCAATCAGCTGCGCCAGGGGTCAGGGGGAGCTATGAGAGGAGATACCCCTGCTCCTCCTCCAGCTCATGCTCTCTGATGTCTTCAGTCTTATAGGGAGAAGATGGATGTCTTTTTTAATTTTTTAACTTCCCAGAACTTTAGAACTACAATTGGGTGTTTTATATTTTCTGTAGGGATAGGTGACTGTTCATTGGGGCTGGAGAAGAGGAATGGAAAGATGATGGAAAACATCTTGGTGCCTGGGAATGGGAAAGGTCAAGGCCTGAGTTCCCAGGACCCTGTGTGGAGTCAAGGCCACAGCTGGCCATGAAGAGAGGTAGGAAGTCCATTCCTGAGAATCAGTTTTCCCAAGACTAGAATCTGCAAATAACAGAAACTTCCCCTGTCCCCAGAATAAGCTCAAAATAGAGTCAAAATCACTGCTGTGTATAGCCTGAGACCTCAGGAGAGTGGGCTGTGGGAAATGCGGTCACTTAGAGAAGGCTGAAACTGCTGCCCAACATCAGGAAGTCCTCCATCCTTCAACCTGCTCCACTATTAGCCTACCATCAGAGGAATGCGGAGCCATGGCTCACAGCTAGGAACCACAGCTCCAGGTTCACAGGAGATAGCCACAGCTGCAGCTCATGGGAGGGGACCACAACGCTAGACTCACAGAAGAGGACCAAAACCTCTAGCTCACAGGAGGGTAGTTCCAGGCTCACCAGAGGGGTCATGATTTTAATACACTGGTTCCTATTATCCTGTCTCCATTGTTCTGTACACATGATTATGCTTGTGTTTAAGAACATTTTGACTTCTGTATAGCAAACAGAGGCAACAGTTACTTGCTGACTTTAGTTTGTTGCTAGAGGGATATCAGTATTGGAGAAAACCCTTTTAACTTTTGCACAAGGAGAGAGAGAGATTGTTTTCTTCATCATGGCCAAGAATCTGGTTGGCTTTTTGATGTATGCTGTTTTCACATTTCCTCCCATGGTCAGGGGGAAGAAGCTTCTTACTGGAGTCACCAGGACCCTAACAGGGACCTCAGGGAGTACATGGCCTGGTCTGAGGGGCAGGAAACGCTTCTCACCATCCTTGTCGTTGTTATCACCACCTACCACCTTGGGCCATTTACCCCACAGATCACTGCTGGCCATGCCTCACTGTTCCAAGAGCCATCACCACTGCCACTGTTGCTCAGGTATCATAGTCTGTCTGTCACCATCTTGGCTCTCTTTTTTTGTTGTTTTTTTGAGACAGGGTTCTTCTACAGCCCAGATGGCCTGGAACCTGTGATGTAGCTCACACTCACTGAGACTGATCTCACAGAGCTCTGCTTGCCTCTAACTCCTGAGTTCTGGGATTAAAGGCCTGCACCACCACATCTGGTGAACCAATTGTTTTTAAGATGGTTGTTTACCTTTTGCACTCACCAAGAGTCAAGTTGTAACTGTAACAAAATAGTCAAGGTGGAATATTCCATAATGAGAGATTTAGCTAATTCATAGTTCAGGAGGTTGAAAGTCCAAGAGTTGGTGGTCCCCTTAGTTTGGTCTCTGAAGATGGATATATCTTAAATTCTTAGCATGCCAATGCATGGAGCTAAGCAGGAATCTGGAGTTTAAAGCAAGGAAGGCAGATATAAAATGAAGGCAGAAATGCCAAGCTTTTATTCTGCTTTTAGTTACCCACTGGTGCTTATCTGTAAGCACAAGTGAAGCATCAGCTGGGCATGGTGGCACACACTTTTAAATCCCAGGACTCAGGAGGAAGAGGCTGGCAGATCTGTGAGATTGAGGCTACACCAGGCCAGGTTGGGCTACAGGAAGACTCTGTCTCAAAAAACAAACACACATACATACATACATACATATATACAAACAAACAAACAAAACTCCCATAAACAGCAACAAAAAAGCCAAGTGAAACAGCAGCTTCACCAAGACCAATCAGCTTCTCAATCCCTGTCACAGCTCTTTAACGACTGATGTTATTTCCTTTGGATATGTATCCAGTGGGTGACTTCTGGGTCACACTGTAGTTCCAGTGTGTGAGATTTTCAGTTCTCTGCATCCTTTTTTCCTAATAGCCATCTGACAGGCATGAGATGCCATATCACTGTGGTTTCTCTGTTGACCAGTGACACTAAGGATCTTTGAAAATAATTGCTAGCCATTTTCACGTTTTCTGTTGAGAAACATTTTATATGGTTCCTTGCCCATTTTTAAATTGGGTTTTTTTTTCTTGCTGATTGTTTGATTTCTCTGTGTATTTTGGCTGCTAATCCTTCATCAGATACATGGTTTCAAACTCTTCCTCCTGTTCTGCAGCTTGACTCTTCATGCTTATTTCCTTGTGTATAAGCTTTTTGGTTGGACATAATCTCATATTTATATTTTTGTTTCTTACATTTTTGAATCATATCTAAGAAAACATTGCCTAGACCAATGCTATGAAATTTTGCCTCTGTGTTCTCTTCTAGAAGTTTCACAGTTTCAGATCTTATATTTAAGCCGTTAATCCATTTTGAGTTGATTTGGTGTGATACAAGGATTTGTTTTCATTCTTCTGCATGGGGATACCAGTTGTCCCAACATCACTTATTAAACAGATCATCTTTAGTGTGTGTTCTTGGTGCCTTTATCAAACAATAATTTACTGTAAATGTTTGGCTTCAGCTAATGTTCAAGTTGGATACATGTCAAGAATCCCCTGAATCAGTATTTGCTCTATCTAGAGTAAATCCTGGGATATATTCCAAAGGATATAGACTCCTGCTCTTGATAGAATTTTTTAGCCTATTGTACATGAAGAGCCTTTACAGTGTCTTTATCTAGCATATATAGCTCAAGAGCCATTTATTTCACTAGTAGAAAAGCCACTGCTAACATCGTTTTTATCATAATTTTCTGGGGTTGATAGGGTTGAGATGTTGTAAGAATTGTCTTTGGAGCATGAATTTCCATCATAGTCTTTCAAACATAATATTCCACCTATAGAGCGTTCTTAGGGCAACAGATCACTGTAGGAGAGATTAGAACCATCAAGCTGTCAGTATAGAAGTATTTAATATAATTTCAGAATGCAGAATTGTGGGGCTTAGGATATTTAGTTTGTCTTAAGTATTAAGACATTTTAATTATTATTTATCTATTTATTCTCTCTCTCTCTTTCTCTCTCTGTATGTATGTGTATATGTCACATGTGCAGGAATCACTTCTCCCCTTCCACCATGTAGGTTCCAGGGGACTGAACCATCCTGCTTGGCTGCAAGTGCCTTCACCTGCTGAACCATCTCACTGGCTCAGGATTTTTTTTAAAGAATAAGATTTATGACTATAAATAGAGCATTCTGTCACTTCTTTCTTGTTTAGTGAATGGACTACGTACGGGGTTCAATGCAAGAATGTATACTAAATCTAGTGAGAAAGTAACAAAGGTGACAAGGATCTTTTTGTTTCCTTCTTTGATTTTTTTTGTATCTATGTGTTTGTGCAGTATATGTGTGTATTTGTGTGTACACATGCATGTGTGCGTGTGTCGTGTGTGTGTGTGTGTGCATGTGTGTGTGTGTGTGTGTGTGTGTAGGTAAGAGGTCAACCTTCGGTGTTACTCTTCAGAAGCCAACTACTTTTGCCTGCCTTCCTTTCCTTCCTTCCTTCCTTCCTTCCTTCCTTCCTTCCTTCCTTCTTCCCTTCCTTCCTCCCTTTTCTTTCAATGGGGACTCTCTCACTGGGACCTGGGGATCACTCATTAGCCTGGCTGGGTGGCCAGAAGGCCCACCTGCCTTAACCATCTCAGATCCAGGATTCCAAGCTCACACCTGCAGACCCAACTTTTCATGTGGGCTGGGGATGGAACTCAGATTCTCATACTTGTGCTGCCTCTACTTTAACGGCTGAACTATCTCCCCCCTCTGCCCCCCAGTTTTAGACAGGCTCTTGCTATGTATCCAGGCTGACTTCAAACTCATGAGCCTCTTGTGTCTGCCTCCCAAGTGCTGGAATTATTGGCATGTGTCACCACACTGAGTTAAAAATACTTCTAGTATGTAACAGAAATTTTATTTGCCACACTTTTGCCCTTTTCAAATCAGTCCTCATGGTCAGAAGTTGCTTCCAGAAGGTTTTATCCTCACTCAGCTCCTGAACTCATATTTCCTCCCTGCCTCTCAGTCCACGCTTTCCACCATGTTTCCCCTATGTAGCAAAGGACTGGTGGGAGTAAGCCAAATGCACCCGTCACCCGCACTCAGGGCAAGGAAGGGAGCTGTTCTCTTCTTGTCACATAACTTACTCAGACCCCAGGGTTGTAAGTGAAAATATCTTTAGGTATAAACTATTCACTTCTGACTTTTTATTTCTCTTAGCCAGTTCCCTCATACTATATATTATCCCATTACAATTAAAAATATTTTTGTTTTAGAGTTTCTCTAACAGTAAAGTACATGCTGGTAGAATTATTACAAATTTTCATCACTGATGGAATTGCTTTTTTTCCACTCATGCTTAGAAACGATTGCAATAAAATGTATTCTTAACTCTACCTCTGCAAAGCTGAAACACAGAAAATGATCAATAGAGCAGCAGGGGACCCATGACTGTGTAAATATTCTCCTAAGAGAAAGTTGGCTTTGGCCCATCTCTCAGCAGGAGTCAGCTTATTTAACCTGGCAATTAGTGGGCTATAGGAGTAAAAGCTGAGCATCCTCGGACTCGTTCCACTTTCTCATTACTCTGTTAAGGAAGTGCGCGCAGAGAAAGGTAATGGTTTTTCTAAACTAAGTTGGTTAGACGCAGCGCCAGGATGAGAACCTATCTTTCATGGTTTCTGTTTGCTAGGGCAGAAATTATTTATTTTGACCAGGATATAAGAACTCAGGAACAGAATTGTGTCTGTGTATATACACAGAATTGAGCTCTAGGTAAGTGGTAAATTTTAGATGAAAAGAAATAAAGAGTGCATCTTCATGTGCCAGAATGTAATTTCAA